GCGAAATGCAGGCGAGAGTGCGATTTGTCCCATGCGCGCGCAACCCTCTGCGGAGATCGTGCGTGTCGAGTGCGCGAAATGCAGGCGAGAGTGCGATTTGTCCGGTGCCCGCACCATCCTCTGCAGAAATCGTGCGTGTCGAGTGCGCGAAATGCAGGCGAGAGTGCGATTTGTCCGGTGCCCGCGCAACCCTCTGCGGAGAGCGCATGTCGAGCGCGCGAAATGCAGGCGAGCACTGGCGACTTTGCAGTGCAACTTTAGAGCTGGAAGATGAGAACTGGTGACTTGGTAGTACAACTTTAGTACGCGGAGCAATCTGTGGAGCTGGAAGCTGAGAACTGGCGACTTTGTAGTACAACTTTAGTACGCGGAGCAATCTGTGGAGCTGAAAGCTGGGAACTGGCGACCTTGTACAACTTTAGTACGCGGAGTATCTGGGGAGCTGGACGATGTCCCACAAGAGTGTCCCGCAACAGGGTCCCACTAGAGTGTCTCACAAGAGTGTCCCTAACATTGTCCTATACAGGAGTATCCCGCAAGAGTGTCCTACAAGAGTGTCCCACAAGAGTGTCCCACAAGAGTGTCCCACAAGAGTGTCCTACAAGACTGTCCCACAAGAGTGTCCTACAAGAGTGTCCTACAAGAGTGTCCCACAAGAGTGTCCCACAAGAGTGACCCACAAGAGTGTCCTACAAGAGTGTCCCGCAAGAGTGTCCTACAAGAGTGTCCCGCAAGAGTGTCCCACAAGAGTGTCCTGTAAGAGTGTTCCACAAGAGTGTCCTACAGGAGTGACCCACAAGAGTTTCCTACAAGAGTGTCCCGCAAGAGTGTCCTATAAGAGTGTCCCACAAGAGTGTCCTACAAGAGTGTCCTACAAGAGTGTCCCACAAGAGTGTCCCACAAGAGTGACCCACAAGAGTGTCCTACAAGAGTGTCCCGCAAGAGTGTCCTACAAGAGTGTCCCACAAGAGTGTCCCACAAGAGTGTCCTGTAAGAGTGTTCCACAAGAGTGTCCTACAAGAGTGACCCACAAGAGTTTCCTACAAGAGTGTCCCGCAAGAGTGTCCCACAAGAGTGTCCCACAAGAGTGTCCCACAAGAGTGTCCTACAAGAGTGTCCCACAAGAGTGACCCACAAGAGTTTCCTACCAGAGTGTGCCACAAGAGTGTCCTACAAGAGTGTGCCATAAGAGTGTCCCATAAGAGTGTCCCACAAGAGTGTCCTACAAGAGTGTCCCAGTTTCCTACAAGAGTGTCCCAGAAGAGTGACCCAAAAGAGTGTCCTACAAGAGTGTCTCACAAGAGTGCCCCAGAAGAGTGACCCACAAGAGTGTCCTATAAGAGTGTCCCACAAGAGGGTCCTACAAGAGCGCCCCATAAGAGAGACCCACAAGAGTGTCCTACAAGAGTGTCCTACAAGACTAAGAGTGTCCCAGAAGAGTGTCCCACAAGAGTGTCCTACAAGAGTGTCATTTGGACATACGTAGTTTTTCGAACGTGTTTGCATTCGGGTTCGTGGGTTCCATCTTGTTTTGCCACTGCATTTTGCGAGAAGTAGTTGATTTGTTGAATTAGTTGTTTAAATATCATAGGCCCAATAATATTTGGTGTTTTGTCATTGGTTACAGGTTACACGGGCTGCATTGTACAGGCGACAGCACGTGGCCGCTGCTGTTGGTCAATAGATGTGGATAGTGTGCACGCGTAGAGACATTCTTGGCCTGACCACATATATAACCGTATATATAGAGAGAGAGGCAAAACGGATGCATTGTTTGTCATCGGGGCCGTGAGGTGTTTCCTTTTCGCCTGCCGGCCAGGTTCTACCGCTTGCAGATGACCAGTGGCGCAATGAGTCCCGCAACCTGCTTTGAGTTCTGTGTTGGAGCTGGTTTGGACCTTTTTGCCTTGGTGCAGGGTGAAGAATGCCGCTGCGGCGCATCACGCCTCAACAAAGGTGTTTGGGGCGAGAAGTCCGCACCTCCAGGACATTTACAATTGCCAGCTCCATTGAGTAGTTGCCTTACAGATCAGGCATGTCCTGTGCGAGTCTATCGATGGCTTGGCCCCTTCGTCTCTGGAGGCTCAGTGCCAGAGCATTTGCTGATGTTGAAGCATGATCGAAGTATTATGCCATTTATCAACTAAACTGTTCATTTACATTTGGGTGTTTAGTTAGATCAAGACCATGACCACTCACTAGGGTTGAACCACGCTGAAGTCCAAGGAATGTTGGCAACACCATCTATGTGGACTCCATTGTGCACGGAAAACGCATCACTGAGGAACAAGAAGAGGATGGAAAAGTTCCACCTCCTCCCAAGGAGGCAAAGTTGCATGATGTGGAGCATCTGAAGGAGCAGGCAAGCTGTTCTTGGTTTTTTAGTTTTTGGAGTCCGTGCGTACAAGGTGATGATACTCAAATCAATCCAAAAGTGAGTTTCCCTCGCGCAAGTTGTCTTGGGGACTATTTCAACAGCAAGCAGTTGCAATGGTCGTTTGATGTCGTTTGTGAGCTGCAACAAAGAAACCCAAACTAGCATCTCCAGCAGCTAAATATTGTTTATTGTTCTGCAAAACCGAAACCATTGGCCATGCTCCATCCAGACTTCAGATAATGCGTGTAGCATGGTACTCGTAGCTGTAACCCTACAGAAAGTTTGCAAGAGATAACCACCTACCAATCCCAGCGAACGATCAAGAGAGACCATCATGGCTTTCATCCACAAAAGTGACGAGCGCACTTGCAAGAAACCTGGTGCTTTCTAGTTTTGAAGACCACAAAGCAGGTGGTTTAACCCCCTTCCGAACCCTTTCTCCGGGCAGGCCGTTGATCCGCGTTGGGACCGGCCTTGCGGTGACAACCCCGGATGTCAAGCGGGCCGTCAGTGGAAGAATCGGAACCCTGTGGCGCCGCCGGGAATGGTGGCGCAGTGGGAAGAGCTGCTGGGCAGCGATAGGTTCAAATCGGGGTTGGAAGATCCTCAGACCGTCACAGGATGTCGCAGGAAAGGATTGAACTTCGGATATGTTGGCTGCTTTGGTTTAGCCGTCCGAACAAGTCCAGGTATGTCATCGTGCCCTACAAGTTCGACGCAGGTGTGGACGACGCCCGGAAGGAGGTCTTCCGTGCGGCTGCCGCCGAGTGGCGGCTCCACACCTGCGTGGCGTTGGTGGAGGATGACGATGCTGTCGCTTTGGAAGCATTCAAAAGCTCGACTGGAAACGTGGTATGTCAAGGGGGGATGTTCAGTTACAGGGAGACTAAGCCGGCTCCCTGCAACGGAAACTCTGTAACCAGAAGACACACCGCGAGCCCAGCGTAGGAGCCTATCGACACCTCCCACACGTGCAAATGACTTTTTAGGACATGACCAAGTACCGGGCGGGTATTCCCACCCTTGTGCGAACATGTGAGATCTGGAAGGGCTATGGCTCAAGAACAGGGCAGCTACCAAACTGGCTAGCACACACTTGTAAAAGAACGCAGGCGGACCATTTGTGGAGTTATGTCATGTTTAATAATTAATTAATAATATACAGTTGAACACAATTTGCATAAAGGTGACCTCCACAGAAGGTCCGCTTGATTCTTCTAAAGCCACGTTTCGGTGGATATTCTGGATACTTGATATTGTGTTGTTCACCATGCCCGCATGGATCGACCACACCTTGAGGCTCTTTTCTACATCTTGGTTGGCATTTACGACCTCAACAGCTGTTGGGCACATTTGGGCAGCCCAGAGCCCTATTATTACTACCACCAAATCAACCTGGGATGGTGCAAAGAAATGGCCCACAAGGGATCCGTGATCCACGAGATTTATCATAGTGACTTGGCAGAGAATCCGAGGAGCACGCAGTTCTTTGTAATAATTTTGGCCAAATCATTCAGTTCCCCCCGTTCCGTATTTGTCAGCCCCTTGCCGGCCCTTCCACTCGTCAATGAAATTGACGCTGATAGAACACAAAACCTGACTGGGCTTTGTAAATGCACTGCGCTTGATGGGCCAAATGAGGTGTTGTTTCTTTTGGCATCGTTTGGTGGGTGCCTTTGTGGCAAATGTGTGTCTTCCCGGAATGACAACGCAAAACTCGCTCTTGCCTGGCACAGCTCTTTGGCGCGGCAAAAAAACTATTGCACCTTGAGCACGATAAGCGCCACTACCTGACACTCACATCGGAAGGTCGTAGCTCCGCCGTGCCGCGGACATGCGAATCATGAATCGAACATGCAATCACGAATTGAAGGAAATCACTCCCATGAGCCCGTTGCTCCCCCAGGAACACACAATATCCAACAATCATGTAATGTTTCATGTTTTTCATCAATAGCCAGAGTGTCGCCCAAAGGTCAAAAATTTGGCATTCGATGATTTTATAATTGAACACCACTGGGCATTCGACCCGGTGGCACAAACATGTCCGTCGGGACCTTGGTTTGCAATGCGTGATGTCATGTGATGTCATAATTTTTGTTATCATTAGTATATATTTTAGTCAAGTAACGGTTGTTAATGGCGGGGCCATTCTGGCAAGTATAAGTTGCCCCTCCCTGTAACTGTAACCTCTCGTTTTCTTGCTGCTTTCGACCGGGATAGTCTGGGACGATGGTAGTGGGGCCCGCTAGCCGCAGTGGTTGGTGTCATCAATGAAGTTTGTCAAAGTGAAGTTTTTGGGCAGTGCGTTTTTGCCTCGAGTCTGACTCGAAGTTAGGTCGAAAGGCAATACCAAAAAGAACATGAAAGGGATGCATGTTACTTCTACAACTCAGCCAGCATAGCTGTCCCGAATGCATCACATCCCCAGTGTCGAAAGCAGAGAGAGAGAGAGAGAGGGACAGAGAGGGAAGGACGGAGGGAGGAAGAGGGAAGGAGTTGAACAACTTGTGAAATCTTTCTCCTGCTGCTGTGGATGTGTTTGGCGTCCTTCTTTTCCATGGGTTGGCTACCCAGCATCCAACCAACATGGTGAATATTTTTTTACTATTATACTGTATATTAATATATATATAATATTATACACGCTTCGTTTGTTAATTTGCAAGACAACTCAAACTATTGAACAAAGCACTATGAGAGATGCGCGGAGACGTTGTCCTCAGGCTTGGCGTCGCTGCATGAGCAACAGCGAGCTGATGGTTCACAAGTGTACTATGGTAAAGGGCCACATTTGGAGATGTTTTGGCAGAATACCGGAAAATGGGCAAGTCAATACGATCCAAACGTGGATTCATATATCGGTTCGGCGGACGATGGTGGTGATGACCCTCAGATTGGCTACGCTGCATACGACTTTGAGACTTGGTTTAGATTTTTGTATATTGAAATTTATGGCATTCTTGTTTGGAGACATGGTAAGGCGGGCACGCGTCTGTTGACCATTCAATTTTCAAGTTTCCTAGGTGCAGTTGCATTCTGGACCTTGGCTCAAGGCAAATCAAATTTATTTGAAGCTTATGTTGCCAGAATCCCTTCTCGTTGCAGTGAAATTGTCGCAGACCAAATGTGTTTGGCCGAAAGTAATCAATCATGGTTTGCGGATGTATTCGGGAATGTAGACAATTCCGTGGACAAAATGTTGGCTGAATCAGAGCATGGAGGCGGTCATGTTGTTTCTTTCTGCGGTTCCCGATACTCCATTTCTTTCCACCAGTTTCAAAAGCGGCATGTCACTTGCATCATCCTGCCTTATCTATTCAGATCCTGGCCCAGCAAGCAGGAGCGTGTTGAACATATCGTCACTCGTTTTCAATATCTTCGTCCTGATGGCTAAAGCAAACTGACATTACTGACCCGTCTTTGGAAGACTGAATGAAACTGACTTTCTATTTTTTGTTCAATATGGACTTGCACACGGACCTTTGGGAAAACACCCCAGAGTCATGCAGACTGTGATTTTGGTCTTGGACCGGAAGGGTCGTGCTTGAAGCGCAGTTCCAGAAAGCAGTGGTGCGTATTGATTTGCAGAGCTCTCGACTCATGACCGGTTCTTACTGCTTGTGCCATGGTGGCGTCAGTTGAGTTCGTGGTGAGTTCCATCAGCTTTTGAAGGCTGTTTGCATGCCTGTACGGTTAGGGGCCAACAGCCGCTGGTCACCATGCCAGTTTTCCTTGTGCAAAGTAGATGATTGACCGTTGATTGTTATTTGGTGCTGCAGATGATCATGCTCGAACTGTTTTTTTAAAACCCCTTCCCTTTGCCTACCTTTTAGCATGTGCCCACATTTTAGCCTCAAGGATTTGAACCCTTGTTTCGCCTTTGTGTGTGACAGTCACTCCGGTATGATGCTGTGTGGAATACTGCGAAGTAGCACCGAAGTGGCATGAAGTGGCGCCTGCTAACTGCTGCTGGTAGCCACTGTTGATGAGTGCTGCCGATTTGTATGTGACAATGTCAGTTGGATTTGATTAGCCATTTCGGCCTCAGGAGAGCATCATGCACTACTACCGACAAAGAAACTACAGCAACCTAGACATCAACGATGGTTGCCTGGCATGAGCGGAGCATCAAAAAGCCTCAAGAAAGGGGCTTAGATGAGGTTCATGTGGGTGCGGTGGCCCACGAAAGTAACAGCCCAGGGCACGAAAGCCTTGAGAAAGCTTCGTGATAGTGATAGATCGCTGTTTTCGTCGTATTCCGATATCTAAGTTCAGGACATTGTCAGTTGTGGCTTGATCTCAGATATATCTCAGGCTACTACTACAACACCATACCTGCATCGGCCAATACCCTCGTGGGCAACCGCGTGGGGTTTTCCCAAGGGGACATTGTCCAAGCGCTGGATGCATACCGGTGCAGGTGCGGAGTTTACCAATGTGGGGCGTAAAGGATGTCGGGTGTATCAAACATGAAACGACTGACTGCATCCGAATGGCAGTGTGTTGCAGTCATTTGCACTTTGGTTATGGGGTCCAGATGTTTTGAACATGAGCTGGTTGGATACCTTCGTGCAATGACGTCAGATCGCGAAGACTTGCTGCAGGCGCATCAGTGAGACTACCACCCCAAATCCGACCACAACCTCGCCTACCACGTCACCCACAACCTCGCCTACCACGTCACCCACAACCTCACCTACCACGTCACCTACGACCTCACCGACGACATCACCCACAACCTCGCCTACCACGTCACCCACAACCTCGCCTACCACGTCACCCACAACCTCGCCTACCACGTCACCCACGACCTCGCCTACCACGTCACCCACAACCTCACCTACCACGTCACCTACGACCTCACCGACGACATCACCTACGACCTCACCGACGACATCACCCACAACCTCGCCGACCACATCACCTACGACCTCGCCTACCACGTCACCCACGACCACACCCACAACCACAACCCTGTCCACGACCGCGACTGCAACCACTACCACGACCGCAACTGTGCCTTTGGCAAACATGCAAGGTATGCCTCCTCCCGAAGCGATAGTGAAACCATGTCGTGAAACCTTTAAATGTTTTGTTGCAAGTTGTCATGACAGGTATCA